TGTTGGAAGAAGTGCAGCCAGAGTGCTCCATGGAGGCCAGCATGGCCAAGCTTCATTTCTTATACTTTGGACATATTGTCAGGTGGGACCAGTTGCTGGAGAGAGATATCGTGTTTGGTAAGGTGGTGGGTTATAGAAAAAGAGGAAGACTTCTAACGAGAAGGATTAGCCAAGTAGCAGCATCAATGGGCTGAATCATGGCAACCATAGTAAAGTTGGCCTAGGATTGGGCAATGTTTCATTCTGCTGTGCATAAGGTCACTATGAGTTGGTACCGACTCGATGGCACCTAACAACAACAACAATGAGTCTTTCATCAATCCTATACCTTGTTCTTTTTCAAATAATCCAAATCCTTAGATTATTTGTTCAGCATATATAAGTATGGTGAAAAGATACAACTCTGGCAAACACCTTTCCCGCTTTTAAGCTAGTTCTCCAATCCTGCCATCTTTCTGGTTCCTCTGCCTTTTTTAGTCAGAATGGGATTATATATTTTCCAAGTGGTTTTGGAGAAACAGGATCTAGAGTTGTGATTTTCCTCTCATAACTCCATCTCCTTGTAAAATTTCTTGTCATCTCTAGCTAAACTTTATCTGTTGCATTTGAAATGTATTTCATTAAACAATTACCTTATTCTTGAGGATAGGTGCTGTATCTGTTTAACTGAGAGTTACTGATTCCTTGCAGAGTGCCTTAATACATATTTCCTTTAATGAGTAGTTTTTTGAAAATTTGTATTTCTTCCTGTGCAATTTCACTTAATAATAATTACCCATTTTTAATAATTGTTGTTGAGTTGATTGAAACTCATAGCTACCCTATAGGACGGAGGGCTTCCAAGGCTATAGTATTTGTGGAAATAGATCACCTCATCTTTCTCCTATAGAGAGGCTGATGGGTTCAAATCTCTGATCTGGTTAGCAGCCAAACACTTAGACAAGACACTATAAGCATTCCTTATAAAAATGGCTTGACTTAAATATACGTTTTGAATCTCCTTGCTTCTTATCAGAATTTGTACCTCATAATACCATTTTTTTTTTTGAAACAATGTACATTGATTGTCTCACAGTTCCTGTGGGCAAGTCTCTCAGGCTGTACTCCAAGTATTGACTGAGCATCAGCCCCTTCTTGAATTTGGGGTCAGCTCAGCTCAGGCTGTTTGTAGAATTCCGTTGTAGGACTGAGGACCCCATTCTTTTTCTTTTGTTTTCCATTATTATTATTTTTAATGTTTTATTGTGAATTATGTGATAGTTTACATGGGAGCATAATACCGTTTTAAGGAAAAAAACCTAGACAATGTAACTGAGAAGACACTTACTTTTTTTTTTTTCTTTCTACAGGATACAAGTATAGAGTTTTTGACATTCAAAAATAAATTATTGTTAGTTTACTATACTTTATTTATAGTAGTAGTTATGTGCCACTGAGTCAGTTCTGATTCATAGCAATCCTGTATAGGCTGTAAATCTTTACAGTAGCAAAAAGTGTCACCTTTCTCCCATGGAGTGGCTGGTAGATTCGTACTGCTGACCATGTGGTTAGCCACCCAGCTTGTAATCCACTACACTACTAGGTTTCCTCATACTTTATTTATAATGTTATGATTAATTTTAAATTACATAATGAGAACTCCACTATTTTATGAACAAATCATCTCATAGCCTATGCAGTCTGTTGTTGTTAAGTGTTGTTGAGTCAGTTCCAACTCATAGCGACCCTGGATAAGGTTTCTGAGAAGCAGCTGGTGAGTTTGAACCACTAGCCTTGTGGTTAGCAGTCTGGTGTTTTTCATACCGAACCACACCAGGAGTCTAGTTCCTGACAAATTTCTGACCTTTTCTTCACTACCTTTGTCTCACTTAGTGTGCTCTGATTATTATGAAAGACTCTCAGTCACTTCAGAGCTTTTGCATTTGTTATTCAAATAGTCTAGGATGAAATCCTCAGTTCCCATGTCTATATGGTTCACCCCTCATTTCAACATTTGCTTAGATGTCACCTTCTGTGAAAGCCCTTATCAGACCAACTTCTATACTATTTTCTTTTTCTTCACTTGTTTTATTTTTCTTGTTTAGTAATAGGTTATCAACATATGTATGATCAACATAAGTTATCAAAATAATGTACGATCAACAACAAAACCATTTTTGTTGCTGTTGTTCAGTGTTGTATTCCTAGAAGGTAGATCAATGACTGATTCCTAGTAGATACTCAACCTTTATTAAATGATGATACATATGATAAATGTTGTGTCATGCCTTGTTTAAATGACATATGCATGATTTCACTTAGTAATAAATAATCCCTACAACTCTGTGAGACAGTTGATATAGCCTTATTACAGTAAAGATTTCAAGTCTCACTCAGAATGGTACCATGTGTTTATTAATATTTAGTAAATGTTTTCTTCTTAGACAAGGCCTTAGTCATACTGATATTTTAAATATGGAAAAAAAACAATAGCGTATGTGTAACTTTTTCTCTTTTTCCCATCAGTAAAATGTCTCTTTTTCAGACCTCAGATAAGTATAGGAGTGTATGTGCTTTTTGGAACTACTCTTCTGACACAATGAATGGCAACTGGTCTTCAGAGGGCTGTGAGATGACATCCACCAATGAGACCCACACCTCCTGCCGCTGCAATCACCTGACGCATTTTGCAATTTTAATGTCTTCTGGTCCTTCCATTGTAAGGCAATTTTCCACTTTGTATTTGTAAATCTGTCTATAGCTTTTTTTGTATTTTGGTCTGTGTCATTCAAGAGAATAATTATTTTGTTTGTTTATTTCTCTTGAAATAACATATTTAATATACTCTTGTTATTAAGTGCAGTGAAGTTGATGCTGACTTATAGTGACCTTGTATAGGGTTTGCAAAGAGCTGTCAGTATAGCTCATAGTCTGAGTCTAATTCTGCAATGCCACAGCAAGAGTTCATCTTCTCCTTAGTCTCTGTCTCTGTCTCTCTCTGTCTCTCTGTCTCTGTCTCTCTCTCTTTACATATATATATCTATATATATCTATATATATCTATATATATATGTGTGTGTGTGTGTGTGTGTGTGTGTGTGTGTGTG